CCAACTTTAACAGCACAAAGTTGGCTGATAAAATTAACACCACAGCACAATTTCAAAACTATAAGCAACTACCAAAAAAACCGCACCCACTCTTATGTAAACTTTTGGAGTAGGCAAACTACTTTAGCCTCACCTTTGTTTTCACCTAGCAAAGACTCTTCAATATAAGACAACAGTAAGATCAAAAGACCCAGTTGTTGAAAAACAATTAAGGAAAAATAACTAAGAATTCGAGACTTCTTAGTAAGCTCGGGGCACTTCCCCAAGCTACAGCCATTTTAGATTCAGCCTTTCTTTTGAGTTTCACGGGGAGTAGGGAGAGACAGATGTAAAACAGAAAAAGTCCTCACTAAAACACTTAAAGATCGACCAGCTTTTTTCTCCAGGTAGGGAGGAGTCGGTAGGGGCTGGACAGACAATCTAAATCAACGAAAACACCTCGCTACCAAGGGGAACCGGAACACTGGGGGCAGGGGTGCGGGGTCAAAGCTCTTCTTTTCCTCACAGATACCCCACATTTGACTCACACGTTTTTTTCCCCTTAGATTTTTCCATCACTGGAAAACAAAAGCCCTTGGCTCTAATTTAAGAAAGAGAAAGAAAAAGTAACCCGTAAACCAAGCTACTCAATCACCAACAAGCCGGAACGCCTGGAGAGGAGCCAGAGAGCCGCAGGTGAGTGTTCCGACCCGAAGAGCAAAGTTGAAGTAGGAGCGCTCTGGCAGAGTCTCGACGACGGTCGTGTACAAAGCTCCACGCGTGGGGGAAGGTGCCCCGTTCGAACCACACGACCCGTGGGCTCTGCTCCCGGTCCCCGGACCGACCTACACCCAACCACCTGTGTGAGAGCCTCCTTCAACTTGTTTCAACAACCGGTCAGTCAGGCACCGGGTGGAGCCCTGCGCCGGGTCACTCACGATCCCCTACTGCCCGTTGTCGGGAACTCTCACTCACCGGGCAGTGGAGGGGCTACAGTTAGGGACCAGTCGCGGCGTCTGACGGTGCGTCCCCAGCTTCCTGATCCGGCAGAAGTGGAGAGCCCACAACCATAACAAAGGTCTTCCCAAAATGGCTGCCCGGCCCACACGGCCCAGGAGGGGCAGACCGGGTGGAGGGGGAGGAGCGACGACCAGCCCGGCCCTCCCCCAATCTGACCCCGCCTCACACACGCCCACACGTTCGCACCGCCCACAAGGGCGCATGCGCATGCGCATGAGCCCAGTTCGGGTGACCCCCCCCCCCCGCCGGCGCCCCAAGCAGCCAACGTTTAGCTGAGAGGACGGCGGTTATTCCTCGCCCCGCCCCCAGCTCCCTCCGCTGCGGCTCCTGGTGGCGCCTCCGCCCCTCTACAGAGTTGAACACTGTCTTTCCTAGCGCCGCCTCAGAGGCGGAGACCAGCTGGGTTTGGTACTCCCCTTCATATCTCCTCTCCAGGCACTAGGGCCTGGGCGCCGGTGAATGAGTGGGTGGGGGTGTATATGTGCACCCATTTTTCCCCGCCCCTTCATTCTGCACCTTCCCACACCCCACCTCTCAGCAAGCGCACTTCTCCAAACTACCTTACAAGTACTAACAAACCGGTTTTGTAGGCGCGTGTGTTTTCCGACCCTTTCCCACCTTCGGCTCCTTCCTTCCTCCTTTCACGTGCGCGCGCCGTTAAGACTCCAGCCCCCAGCAGGCCACACGGCCGGGCTTTGGCGGCCTGAGTGGCTGGTCCCGACGCACTACCCGCTGGGAGTGGTAGTTCCGTCCGACCGCTGGCGTCACTCCCCTGTCCCAGTACTGGGCGGTTTTCTGGCCAGAGCCTGCTCCAGTGCCAGGGCGGAGAAGCTGTTTCTTCGGCTCTAAGTCTCATTGGATATCGCATAACAGGAAGGGGCGGCGCTGTCATGGCCGAGAAGGAAATTAAAAGTGAAAGCTTATGGCGACTGAAAAGTGTTACTATTACGAAGAATTCGCCGTGAACCTGTTCCGTACGAGAGGCTAAACCAAGTGATAGCCGGCAACCGGGAAGCTAGACTAGGTAGAATCGGGAGGAATGGAGGAACCTGCTAGCGTGGACTCCTGCAGCTCTCCTTTTGTTTTCAGATAAACAAAATTGCCTGATGGTGTTTCCTTTGATAGACTGTGAAATGGAGGCCCAGAGAAGGGAAGGGACTTGCTCAAGGTCACAAAGCCCACAAATAAAAGTTAGAGAGTGACAGAAGGAATAATCTAACTTACGGGTCACCCTAAAGGCTCTTATCACAGTTTTCATGAAAATAAAAGCCTTGCCCCTTGTTTTTATTTCTTAACAAAATTTACAGGTACCAGCAAAGATAATGAAGTGGAACTTTTCCCCCCTTAAGTAGTATTAGTTCAGTACCTTAATGAGCTGTGAGATATGCCCAGGCTATCCTAGGAACCACTTTTAAATGCAAAGGAAAAAAATGAGTTCCAGGGACTTCCCTGGTGAGCCACTGGCTAAGACTCCACACTCTCAGTGCAGGGGGTTCCAGTTCGATCCCTGGTCGGGGAACTAGATCCCACATGCTGTAACTAAGACCCGGTGCAGCCAAATAAACTAATATTTTTTTAAAAGAAAAAATGAGTTCCAGAGATGGCAAGCAATTTGGCCAAGTCATAACTTGGCCTAGACTCCAAATCTCCTACCTTCCTCCACACCATCACTCAGTAACTGCATTCTATCTTCCCGAACTCTGTGGGGCAGATTTTCTTGGCTGGGAAACCTGGACTAGAAAAGAAAGGACCATTTATGTACCCTACAGACTTCAAAAGCCAGTTTCTACTACAACTAAGATTTTACAGAAAACCCTGGGTGGGAACTAGTTAGCGCTGGTCAAGTTTCCACCCGGACTCATTTTTTTTTTTTTTTTTTTTGCTCTCAGGAAGTGAGGGGGGACTATTTATTCTCGCTTGCCGGAAGACTTTTTCCAGAGTCCGAGCTCTTCTTGAAGTTCGGGTTTCTAACTCTGTGCGACGCTGGCAAGTGAGTAGCAAGGCTGTTGCCACAGGTGCAGGTTGGGAAAAGTGGTGGGGCTCCAAGGCTTTGTTGTAAATTAAAGCCGCGGACACTGTTGAACAAAATTTCCCGGGGATCTCTGCGTCCAGAATTCATCCCTTTTCTACTGATGTCGGCTCTAAGAGTTGCAGTTTGGCGCAGTGAAACTATTGAGCATTTTCACCCAAATTGAGTGGATTAACTCTTGGGTCTTTGTCCTTAATCTCCTCACCCGTTGCCATCCCGGGCTTTAGGCTACCACATTTTTGCTTTAATACCCTTGAGTTGGAAAGCACTTGTCACAGTGCCTAGGGAGTTTGGAAGGTTGAGGGAGCATGTAGATTTTTGAAATCCCGTAAAAAGGTGATTTTGAACAAACGTGAGTAGGTATGTGTTTGGGAGTCAGGAAGTGTGTGTGTGTGTTTGTGCAGTCACTCAGTTGTGTCCGACTCTTCGTGATCCCATGCACTGTAGACATGGAATTCTCCAGGCAAGAATACTGGAGTGGGTTGCCATTCGCTTCCCCAGGGGATCTTCCTGACCTAGGAATCAAACCTGGGTCTCCTGCATTGCAGGCAGATTCTTTACCATCTGAGCCATCAGGGGAGCCCATATTATCTAATTGACCCGGGATAACTTAACTCCCTACTTGCTTGCATATATGGAGAGAGAGCCATCGATAGTCTGGTATACAGAATTTCTTGACCCAGCCCTAATATCTGTGATCAAGAAATTAGTTCACTCTTTTGTTTTTTCCCCCAATAGGCGAGAAGTAGATTTATTAATAAAGGAATCTTCTGAGAGATGCAAGGGGGCTCTGCCAAGATTTTTTTTTTTTTTTTAAATCTGTGTTAGATCTTAGATGTGACTCCTTATGGCTGGAGAGCCTAGTTGCTTTTGCATGTGGGGTCTTAGTTCCTCCACAGGGCTCAAACCACGTCCTCTGCATTGGGAAACTGCAGACTCTCAACCACTGGACCACCAGATAAGTCCCCAAGTTTTTAAATTAAGCAGCAACTGTGGGTTTTGGATTTTAGACACTTCTGTTTTTCTTGTTAATACTGGGACTCATGTAAACATAACAGATCTGGGTTAATAGTATTCTCATTCAGTCACTTACTGGTTGCTTACATTTTGTAAGGTGGGAATAATAGCTAGTTTGGTTTTCTTTTTTTTTTAGTGCCTGCTTTGTGTTAGGGACAGTGCTCAGCTTTTTACATCTATTAGCTTATTTAATTTTTACAGCGACCCTATGTAGTTATTAAAAGCCTTAGGTGAGTGAATTGCACTATAATCAGGTTAAATAATTTGTCCAAAATCACATAACTAATACATGGTAGAGCCAGAATTCCAGCCCAGGTCATTTGACTCCAAAATCTGCACTCTTAACTTAACAGGTTATTAATATCACTCAGCACCAAGTTGATGTGGGGATTGTATTAAATAAGTTAGTGCATATAAAACACATAGTTATAATGCCTGGTTCACAGCTAGTTGAATTGATTGCTATTATCATTACTTTTAAGCTATAAACTCCTAAGCCCCAAAATAAATAACTAAGGGGAAAAAAGAAAGCAGAGAAGCTATGACTTTCAGTGTTAAAGATAAGAAAGCTGGCACTTCAAGGAAGCAATTTATCCAAGGTCACACAATTGGGAAATGATAGAGGCATTTGTAAAAATCTAGATATATTGTCTCTGCATTACTCTTTACACCCAACAGCAAAAGCTAAAATAACATTCAAAGAAAAGGATCTGTTTACTACATGTTACAGATTTTTTAAAACATTAATGACTATTTCCAAAGGAAACTATTATATGGAAGAAATTCCCCCAAATTCCTATTTTTAAAAATTATGTATGAAGTGAAGAACATTAAATGACATCTTATTTTGTACACAGCAGCATGCTTCTGATTCAGACCCTCCACTTAAGTGTAAAAATACATTAATCAGAACTGTGTGGCATCTTCCTAAGCAAGACTTTCACTGGGACCCAGTATGCTTCACTTCATCCAGAAGTTTTCTCAAGCATCTTCAAAGGTTGGTTTATTCAGCAAATATGTGAGCACTACTTTCCAAGCACTGCTTCACTGGACAATAGTAGTAAAATAAGACAAAAATCCTTATCTTCATACTCTAGGTGATCTGGGTAAGAGTAAAATACAAATAAGTGAAATATTTAATATGTCAAAGTGAAAAATTTAGTATGTCAAATGGCAAGTGCTGTGGAGAACTACAGAGCAGGGAAGGGGAATAGGGACAGTAGACTTTTAAGGACTGCATTTATAAATAGAGTGGTCAGAATGAGGCAATGAGTGATGCAGATACCTCAGGGAAGAACATTCTAGACAAAAAAAAAAAAAAAAAACAGTTCTCAAGATGGAATCATTCCTAGCAATTTTGAGTAACTACCAAGATTCTTTAAATAGCTCTTTTGTTTTCTTTAATCCAGTATTTTCTGAGTTACAGTTGATATGTGTAACTACTGAAGTATGGCATCTACTCACTAAAGAACAAAATCAGCAGAAGAGGTTATTGCTTTGGCCATATGCCATGAATAGCACTGGGGATTTTTTTTTTAAGGCAAAGAAAAAAGAAAAATGGTTCAAGCCCTCAGGTCTACTGAGACAGACAAGTGAACGTGTGATTTTAATTCACTATGAGAGTTATGATAGGAGTGTGCATAGGGTACTTAACTTATAGCAGAATTAAATCAGATTGGAGAAAGTTTTCAGCTGAATTTTGAAAGGTAAGTTCCCTAGAGAGAAAAATGGTAATCTAAAATTCTAGGCAGAGACTTGTAGAAAGGCATGAAGCTATGAAAACTATGCAGTGTCTAAAGCTTAATTTTCTTTACATAAAACAGAATTGCCATAATAATTAGTGCAGCTTCTTTTTCAATTTATAAATAGAAGAGGCAGTTTAGAATGCCAAAAGCTAAAGGCCTAGTCTTTACCTGTTCCTCCAGATATTTCTTTCATGGGATAATATTGTGGTAGGCCAAAACATTATCACGGTTTCTATTGAGTAGTAGCTTCTTTTGCATGTTGTATAGCTATTTAATAGTCTTTGCAGCAATAACATCACCCTATACGCCAACCTTTAAGTTTGACATGCTAACAGAAAGCACATGGTTTGTTTTTATATTGTTTCATATTGTGACTAAAACATTTGGTGATTTTATAAGTCTGTTTTGTTGTCTTCTGGTTCTGTTTTCCCTATAGATGCTGAAGTACACTTCCACAGTCAGACCAGGAGCCAGCAGGAGAATAGAAACACTTTCTCACAAGACATATCTTCAGCAGAACTTTCCCCCTTTGTTTCCAAGGCTTTGGCTTTTCTCATCCTTTCCAGCATGTGTGAGCAAGACACAGTATTATCATACTTCCCTATGCAGTTTTAAGAAGAAGCAAGAGCAAGCAGTGCTTCCAGCCAGGCCACCACGAACCATAAGTTTCCTGCCTGACAGCCCAAAGCCAGCATTATACATAACTCTGGCAGGACTAATCCCCTTCGTTGCTCCACCACTGGTCATGGTGATGACAAAGACTTATATTCCCATGTTAGCTTTTACTCAGATGGCTTATGGAGCCAGTTTCCTTTCTTTCTTGGGAGGAATCAGATGGGGTTTTGCTCTGCCAGAAGGTAGTCCAGCCAAACCAGACTTCCTCAATTTAGCTAATAGTATAGCTCCTGTTGTGTTTTCATGGTTTGCTTTCTTTATTTCTGAAAGACTCAGTGAAGCTATAGTCACAGTCATAATAGGTTTGGGGATAGCGTTACACACTGAACTTTTTCTCTTGCCCCATTATCCCAATTGGTTCAAAGCCCTAAGGATAGTAGTCACTTTAGTGGCCTTTTTTTCATTTGTAATCACTTTACTAGTGAAGGATTTTTATCCAGAGAAAGGACCCAAGAGACTTGGGCAAGTAAAATAAATATAAAACTATTCTATAGATGATGTTAGCATGTTGGTTAGAAGCCTTGTGTTTTGCAGTCATCTTTTTCTACCTCTCCTGTTTAGCTTTTTCCCAGGAAAGGTGATATTTTCTTTACAAACTATTTTTCATTTGTAGAAATCTTTCTCATAGATATCACTGAGAAGCAGCTTGAAAATCCTTAAGTAAAATTCTCATTCAGTCTTTTTATGAGTTATAGGCATCCACTTAAAATTTTCAGTGTTTTAATTGTTTTGAAAAATGTAAATAAAAAAAGATGAAAAACAGTGTGCTAGAGCTTTACGGTCATTGAAAACACACACATACACTCTCAGAGGAAAACTTCATGAGTGTCTGAAAATAACAGGTGGCTCTAGTATGGAGTTTTCATTGCAGTTGCCCCTGGAAATTGCATTTCCAAGCTCAATTTTACCTGGCATAACCTAGTAATTTGAACTGAAAAGATTTGTGGCTTTAAAAGTCAGTAGGAAGCACTATCACAAGAGAAAGCTGTGTTCAAAGAAGAGTTGGACATATTTTCTGGTTTTATCAGGATATTTGGCAGAGTATAGACAGAACTTGATTTATGGACCTAACATTCCAGATTCCTATCTAATATTGTTCTTTGTAGCATCGGACTTTACCTTCACCACCACAGACATCCACAACTGAGTGTTGTTTCGGCTTTGGCCCTGCCGCTTCATTCTTTCTGGAGCTATTATTTTTTTTTTTTCATTTATTTTTATTAGTTGGAGGCTAATTACTTTACATCATTGTAGTGGTTTTTGTCATACATTGAAATGAATTAGCCATGGATTTACATGTATTCCCCATCCCGGTCCCCCCTCCCACCTTTCTGGAGCTATTAGCAGTTGCCTTCTGCTCTTCCCCAGTAGCATACTGGCATATTGGACACCTTCCTACCTGGGAGACTCATCTTCCAGTGTCATATCTTTTTGCCTTTTCATACTGTTCACGGGGTTGTTAAAGTACCAGACCCATCTTACCTGTCTCCTGAGAAACCTGTCAGTCAAGATGCAACAGTTAGAACTGGACATGGAACAACTGACTGGTTCAAAATTGGGAAAGGAGTATGACAAGGCTGTATATTGTCACCCTGCTTATTTAACTTACATGCAGAGTATATCATGCAGATACTAGGCTAGATGAATCACATGCTGGAATCAAAGACTGCCAAGAGAAATATCATCAACCCAAGATATGCAGATGATGCCACTTTAATCGCAGAAAATGAAGAGGACCTAAAGAGCCTCTAGATGAGGGTCAAAGAGTGAAAAAGCTGCCTTGAAGCTTTCAACATTCAAAAAACTAAGATCATGGCATTCAGTCCTATAACTTAATGACAAAAAGGGAAAAAAGCAGCAGTGAAAGATTTTATTTTCTTGGGCTCCAGAATCAATGTGGACGGTTACTGCAGGCAAACCCAGGTCTCCTGCATTGCAGGCGGATTCTTTACCAGCTGAGCTACAAGGGAAGCTCAGATGTGAGTTGGACCATAAAGAAGGCTGAACGCCAAAGAATTGATGCTTTTGAATTATGATGCTGGAGAAGGATCAATAATAAAGGAAATCAATTTTGAATATTCATTGGAAAGACTGATGCTGAAGCTCCAATACTTTGGTCACCTGATGCGAAGAGCGGACTCACTGGAGAAGACCCTGATGCTGGGAAAGATTGAAGGCTAAAAGAGAAGAGGCAGCAGAGGATGAGATAATTAGATAGCATCACCGACTCAATGGACATGAATTTGAGCAAACTCCAGGAGATGGTGGAGGACAGAGGAGCCTAGCTTGCTTCAGTCCATGGGGTTGCAAAGAGTTGGACACAACTTAGCAACTGAACAACAACAAGTAGATACAACTTGTCTCCAAACATAACACCAACTGGTAAAAAAAAAATACTTAAAAGAATAAAGTGACTAGTAAGATCCCCTGGAGAAGGGCATGGCAACCCACTCCAGTATTCTTGCCTGGAAAAGCCCACAGACAGAGGAGCCTGGCTGGTTACAGTTCACTGGGTCACAGAGAATCAGACACTACTGACATGACTTAGCATGCACACATGTACAAGCTAGGAAAAGTCAATTGAGTCATTTTTATAATGTTCTATCTAGTTTTGCAAGTCAACTCATAAAGAAGCTTTTTAAAACAGCGAAAACAATACCTTGGATTCTAACTTGAAAACCTAGTCTTTTCAGATGCTTAGTCTCATAAAAAAACATTTAAAGTGTAAGAATATAAATTAGGAAATGGATATGATATATATAACCTTTGTATCTCTCTCTCTGTTAGTCACTCAGTCGTGTCCGACTCTTTGCGACCCCAGGGACTGTATGGACTGAAGGCTGCCAGGCTCTGTCCGTGGGATTCCCTAGGCAGGAATACTGGAGTGGGTTGCCTACCTTTGTATAAATATTCAAATATTAGGTAAGAAATTTCATAAGTAAATTATATACATATAATTTCCACTTCAGTGACTCTTTCTGTAGAAAGATTATAATCTAGAGTAGTAACTTGTTTGGAGCCCAGAAAAATAAAGTCAGCCACTGTTTTCCCCGTCTATTTGCCATGAAGTGATGGGAACTAACTCGACCAACACATTGATTTCAGATTTCGGGCATCCAAAAATGAGACAATAAATTTCTGCAGTACTTTGTTAAATGAAACAGTCCTAGCAAACACATATAATACTATGGAGCTAGAGCTTGTTCTGATCATTGGGAAGCTTACCAGTTAAAGCCTGTGGCTAAAATCACCAAACGATCCTTCTTTATTAATGTAGAGAAAAGTTTACGACAGCCTGATGCTGAAGGAAAGAAAGCTTATACTCTTCAGAAGATCGTTTTCAGATTCTACTCAGATTGTTTCACTGAGGAAAATTACTTCTTTGCTTCTAAATTGCATAAGTACTACACAGACTTAAAACTTTTCTCTGATCTCAATCTCTCATAATATGGGCAAGTCAGATATTCAAGCTAACTGACCCCTTATTTTTTTTTTTTGGCTGCACCATAACTGCATGCAGATCTTAGCTCGCAGACCAGGGATCAAACCCATGCCTCCTGCAGTGGAAGTGTGCAGTCCTAACCACTGGACTACGAGGGATTTCTCTACAGTGTATATGACACTGGACACTGGACAGTATATTTAGAAGTGTATTGAATTGTTAAATATTTTGGGGGAAGATCATGTTAATCAGTTCAGTCGCTCAGTCGTATCCAACTCTTTGAGACCCAATGAACTGCAGCACACCAGGCCTCCCTGTACATCACCAACTCTCAGACTTCACCCAAACCCATGTCCACTGAGTCAGTGATGCCATCCGACCATATCATCATCTGTCGTCCCCTTCTCCTCCTGCCTGCAATCTTTCCCAGCATCAGGGTCTTTTCAAATGAATCAGCTCTTCCCATCAGGTGGCCAAAGTATTGGAATTTCAGCTTCAATATCAGTCCTTCCAATGAATACCCAGGACTGATCTCCTTTAGGATGGACTGCTTGGATCTCCTTGCAGTCCAAAGGACTCTCGAGTCTTCTCCAACACCACAGTTCAAAAGCATCAATTCTTCAGCACTCAGCTTTCTTCATAGTCCAACTCTCACATCCATCCATGACTACTGGAAAAACCATAGCCTTGACTAGATGGACCTTTGTTGACAAAGTAATGTCTCTGCTTTTTAATATGCTGTCTAGGTTGGTCATAACTTTCCTTCCAACAAGTAAGCGTCTTTTAATTTCATGGCTGCAATCACCATCTGCAGTGATTTTGGAGACCAGAAAGATAAAGTCTGACACTGTTTCCACTGTTTCCTCATCTATTTCCCATGAAGTGATGGGACCAGATGCCGTGATCTTAGTTTTCTGAATACTGAGCTTTAAGCCAACATTTTCACTCTCCTCTTTCACTTTCATCAAGAGGCCCTTTAGTTCACTTTCTGCCATAAGGGCGGTGTCATCTGCATATCTGAGGTTATTGATATTTCTCCCGGCAATCTTGATTTCAGCTTGTGCTTCCTCCAGCCCAGCGTTTCTCATGATGTACTCTGCATGTAAGTTAAATAAGCAGGGTGACAATATACAGCCTTGACATACTCCTTTTCCTATTTGAAACCAGTCGGTTGTTCCATGTCCAGTTCTAACTGTTTCTTCCTGACCTGCATACAGGTTTCTCAAGAGGCAGGTCAGGTGGTCTGGTATTCTCATCTCTTTCAGAATTTTCCACAGTTTATTGTGATCCACACAGTCAAAGGCTTTAGCATAGTCAATAAAGCAGAAATAGATGTTTTTCTGGAACTCTCTTGCTTTTTTGATGATCCAGCGGATGTTGGCATTTGGATCTCTGGTTCCTCTGGCTTTTCTACAACCAGCTTGAACATCAGGAAGTTCACGGTTCACGTATTGCTGAAGCCTGGCTTGGAGAATTTTGAGCATTACTTCTACTAGCGTGTGAGATGAGTGCAATCGTGTGGTAGTTTGAGCATTCTTTGGCATTGCCTTTCTTTGACCTTTTCCAGTGCTGTGGCCACTGCTGACATTTCCAAATTCACTGACATATTGAGTGTAGCACTTTCACAGCATCCTCTTTTAGGATTTGAAATAGCTCAACTGGAATTCCATCACCTCCACTAGCTTTGTTCATAGTTATGCTTTGTAAGGCCCACTTGACTTCACATTCCAGGATGTCTGGCTCTAGGTGAGTGATCACACCATCGTGATTATCTGAGTCGTGAAGATCTTTTTTGTACAGTTCTGTGTATTCTTGCCACCTCTTCTTAATATCTTCTGCCTCTGTTAGGTCCATACCATTTCTGTCCTTTATTGAGCCCATATGAAATGTTCCCCGGTATCTCTAATTTTCCTGAAGAAATCTCTAGTCTTTCCGGTTCTATTGTTTTCCTCTATTTCTTTGCACTGATCACTGAGGAAGGCTTTGTTATCTCTCCTTGCTATTTCTTTGGAACTCTGTATTCAGATGCTTAT